GTCTTTCTTTCTTTCTTTCTTTCTTTCTTTCTTTCTTTCTTTCTTTCTTTCTTTCTTTCTTTCTTTCTTTCCCCCCTCCCAACAATCATCAGTAGATAAGATCAGCTGTGTCGGGATTCCCCTTTTCGAGGCCCAGGAAGGCCAAAAATAGAGGGAGGAGCTCAGCCCCAGAGGAGCCTTAGGGGAGCAAAAACGACCCCCCCCCCAGGCTCTTCTGAGGCTAGGAAGCTCCCAAAACAGAGCTTGGAGGGGGGCGTGCTGCGTGCCCCTCCCATGCTCCGTTCCTTTTCTTCGAAAGCCCCAGAGGAGCCTTAGGGGAGCAAAAACGACCCCCCCCCAGAGGCTCCTCTTTGGCTAAGAAGCTCCCCAAAATGGTTGGGGGGGTTGCAAAAAAAGCCACGCCCACCCAGTCACTTGGCAACGCCCACCAACCCGCGCCCACAGAACCGGTAGTAAACATTTCTGAATCCCACCACTGCCTTAGAGTGATATGCCACTTCACTGTCCTTTTTCCAGCCCTCTCTAAGCAGTTTACAGGGTCAACCTCTTTGCCCCCAACAATCCGGGTCCTCATTTGACCCACCTCGGAAGGACGGAAGGCTGAGTCCACCTGGAGCCTGGTGGGATTCGAACTGCCAAACTGCAGGCAGCCGGCAGTCGGCAGAAGGAGCCTGCAGTACTGCACTCTAACCACTGCGTCACTGTGGCTCTTATAATAGGGTTGGGCGGGACCTCGGAGGTCTTCTAGTCCAACCCCCTGTGCAAGCAGGAGACCCTATCCCATTTCAGACAAGCGGCTGTCCAGTCTCTTCTTCAAATCTCCAGTGATGGAGCATCCACAAACTTCTCAAGGCAGGTTGTTCCACCGTTTCGTTGTCCTCACGGTCAGGAAGTCCTTTCGGTGCTTCCCAGAAATACGGAATCAAACAGGTGGAAGTTGCAAGGAAGTGAAGCAGGAAAGGAAGAAAGGAGGGTGAACCACCACGGCAAGTCCTTCTCAGTTCGGTCAGGAGACCCTGGAGGGGGCCATCCTGCCCGGAACACCCCAACGCTGAAACTCGAGGCTTACACCGAATCTCTCCACGTCCCTTGGCTCTTCCTCTTCAACCCCAGCCGGCCAAACGAGTCCATGTCGGAAACCACTAAATCTGCCAACACAAGAGGGTATTTGCAGCTCAGGATGAACTGTGGGGCTCTTGAGCTCTCTGAGCGCGGTTGTTTGCTTGAAGACTTTTCATGACCCAACTAGGCAACATCATCAGTGCTAGAAGGGAGAGGAAGAGGAGGACTGTGGGGTCCTTGCTGCTCCGTGAGCTTGGCTGTTTTCTTGCAGGTATTTCATTACTCAATTAAGAGGGGGGGAGGAGGAGGAGGAGAAGGAGGAGGAGGAGGAGGAAGAGGAGGAGGAGGAGGAGGAGAATTGTAGAGTACTTGGTGCTCTCTGAGCTTCGTTGCAAGTTGTCTTATTGAATAACAGTTCTCACAATCAGGAATTTATTCTCCCTTAGTTCTAGGTTGGGCTTCTCCTTGGCAACTTCCACCCATTGCTTCCTTCTCCTGTCTTCAGATGGTTTGGAGAATAAATCAACCCCCTCTTCTTTGTGGCAGCCCCTTAAATATTGGAAGGCTGCTATCACGTCATTCCTAGTCCTTCTTTTCATTAAACCAGACATACCCAATTCCTGCAACTGTTCTTCATAGGTTTTATCCACCAGTCTCCTAATCACCTTTGTTGCTCTTCTCTGGACTTTTCCCAGAGTCTCAAGTGGTTTCTTTTTGTATTGTATTGACCAGAACTGGACGCACGATTCCTCAACTGGTGTGGAATTGCGATAGGCTACCTCTGAATATGGAGGTTCCACTCGTGTAACCTGATGCTGCCCTTGTGCATCGTAGCTCACAAAGGAGGTCCACTCACCCACCTACCCCTTTGCACCACCCAACCAAGATCGCAACCCCTTCACCTGCTCCCTGGGCTTCAGTAGTGAGATGTTTCGGCTCTTCGGTCCACGGTGTGGCATGGACGGCCACACTCCAGTCGCTCCATGTGCCGATCTCGTTGTCCTTGGCGGCCACCTGGATGATGTACTCTTTCCCAGCGTAGGCATCGGTGATGATGTGGGAGGTCCCATCGGATAGCTCCACCTGTCGGGGCGGGAAGAGAGGGATTGTGGGAAAGGGGGTGTCGAACAGAAGCTCTCAGCCCCCTGGAGACTCAACCCATCCATGACCACCTCAAATGTTGGAGATCCCTTCCAAGGGAAGACCTCCACTGTAAACCTGTTTCCCCAAAAATATGGCCTACCCTGAAAGTAAGTCCTAGCTTGATTTTTTACAGGTATGCCCAGTATAAGCCCTACTCCAAAAATAAGCCCCAATTGAGATCGCGCCCACTCCAGAGTAGAAGGGGAAAAATTAAGCTAGGGTGGGGATGGAGGGTGGGTGGAGTTGCCCTACTACTTACCTTTGGACAGTTGTAGCTAGGCACCTGCCTTGCCGGCCGCAGAAGAAGAAGTTCCTGAAGGCCTCTGACAGCGAAAAGGAGGCCGGGAGTGACGCGTGCAAGTGAGGTTAGTGAGTGGATGACATACTCTGAAAATAAGACCTGGGGCCTTTTTTGGGTGGCAAAAAATATAAGACAGGCTCTTATTTTTGGAGAAACATGGTGCTTCACTGGCTTTCCACAACAGGGGTCCACAGAAGCTGGCTACTTTAAGACTTGTGGTCTTCAACTCCCAGAATCCCCCAGCCAGCATGTCCAGAAGTGTCCAACTGTGGCAACATTTTTAACAAATTTTTTGTTGTATTTATACATTTTTCTTAATATACATAAAAACCTCTCTATCTCTCTGAGCAACCTGTTGTCTGGGTACGATTGTTTTTGCATAAAAATACAACAATAATCATAATCATAATATACATATCAATAATAATCACATAGTACTAGTAAATTAGTTTATCCATATTAAATTTTTTCCGTATCTAATTAATTGCCAACCGTGGCAACTTTTTAAGACTTGTGGATTTTGACTCCCAGAATTGGGCCTGTTCATACAAACATTCAAATGTCACTGCCTGCTGGAATTGAGTGTATATCCCACAAACATCAGCATTACACCAATTTGAACCCTCGTTGGGCCTGGTGGCACACTGGGAGGAATTCTATGGAAAATTGAGAGAGGCACTAAAAAAAGGAAGAAGAATGTGTGAATATTGAGAAATGAAAGAACATGACCTCGGAGGACGATCTGGATTGGGATAAAAGCAGTTGTGTACGAGATTGGCTAATGAAATTTTGCAAAGAGAATCAAACAATTAAGGAGAATATTTGTAGCTTAGGCTTGACGTGAGGGGTCCTTGGTAGTTTTCTTGCAGACGTTTCATGACCCCAACTAGGAAACATCATCAATGCTAGCGATAGGATTAGCACTGATGATGTTACCTACTTTGGGTCATGAAACATCTGCAAGAAAACAAGCCAGCTCAGAGACCACCAAGGACCCCCTCAAGAGATCCTCTGTGCCAGCAGCCTGCTTCAAACAACATTACTCTCCACACCAAAACATCGCCAGATGCACAACACAGCAGAAAATGGGGCGATATACAACCTAGTCAAGCAGGAAGCTTCCAGATCCAGGTTTTGGAACCAGCCATCAAGACGGACGGCTGTTATACAGGTTGAACTTAGAAAATTCAAAGCAGGGGTGATTCCAGCTGTTAGAATATAAGATAGGTATATCCACTTTACCTAACTTACACATAATTAACTCAGAAGAGAACCTGTGGCAGGCGTCCCCAAACTTGGCAACTTGGGAGAATTCTGGGAGTTGAAGTCCACAAGTCTTCAAGTTGCCAAGTTTGGGGACTCTGACCTATGGGAAGGAATAATTAATATTGTAAGGCAGAAAAGGATCCCCAACAATATTTTCAATATTTGAGGGGCTCTCCCAGAGAAGAGGAGGGGTGTGTGTGTCAAGCTCTTCTCCAAAGCACCCGAAGGCAGGACAAGACGCAACAGAGGGAAACTAACCGAGGAGAGAAGCAACCTGGAATTAAGGACGGTGAGGACAACTGACCGGTGGAACGACTCGCCATCCAGAAATTGTGGATGCTTCATCACGGGGGGCTTTTAAGAAGAGACCGGGCAGTCATTTTGGGGTAGGGTCTCTTTCTTGAGCAGGGGGCTCGATTAGAGGACCTCCAAGATCCCCGCCAGCTCTGTGCTATTCTAAACGGCGCGCTGAAGTCCTTCCAGAGAGGACGGTCATCAGACCAAAGCCTTTGTGTGCTGAGAGAATATTAGGAACCGGCGGAAAATGAGGTATGACAGCTGATAGTCCGGCTGTCAAACGGAGAAGTGCCCGGCCAAGAGGAAACAACCACTCAAGAGTTGAAATCTGACGGTGAAGAGACAGTTCAGTTGCTGGCAAAGCGACATCCACAAACAAGACGCGACGCGCTCTGTGATTGTGGTTTCCCCTCGTTTGGTTGCTTCCAAGCTTTTGTGATCCAAGTGCAGATTGTTTCGACAGGATTGTCTGTCACTAACGGTTTCCTCCAGTCCCTGTACGCTCATGCTTATGTCAACAGTGGCGGTATTATTCTAGCCACACCTGGTCTTCCTTCTCAATTGCCTTCCTGTTTGCAAAGCTAACCTTCTCTTTGAGTCCTCTTTAACATTATAGGAGATCCAGGGCAGTGGTGAAATGTTACCGGTTTGGCCAACCTGGTAGCAAAACAATCCTGAAGGCAGGAACTAAAACCAACGGATGGAAACCAATCAAGGCCAGAAGCAACCTGGAATTAAGGAGAAACTTCCAAACAGTGAGGACCATCAACCATCCAGAAGTTGTGGGGGCTCCATCCCTGGAGGCTTTCAAGAAGAGACTGGACAAACATTTATCTGAAATGGCATAAGGATTCCTGCCTTAGGCAGGGGGTTGGACTAGGTGACCTCCAAGGTGCCTTCCTGCCCTGTGATTCCATAAGTCTGCCAGAACTCCAATTTCTTCTCCACCGAACTGAATCGGTATTGCGTTGCCTGTTGGCCTAATTGCATCCCCCGCCCCCCCACACAAAACAATCAATACTATTTTCATATTCCGCATTGAGTAGCTGGCCTTACTGCTCAGAAATAGGGAGACGCGGGATGATACGCACAGGGAGCCACTGTCGCCCCAGTTCCTCCTGCGAGCAGGGACTGTTTTGATGGGGAGATTCCGGAGAGGAAGGCAGCGAGGAAGGAATACGAGATGAGCAGGGAGATGGGCGCAAGAGGCAGACAGGCAGGAGATCAGATAGCTTCAGGGAGGATGGATAATGTCGAGAGCAAATACATGTTCGGCTTATCTCTGGCTTTGTCGACTGGAGGGCTGATTGCTTGGAGGGAGACAGGCTGTGGGATAAAGGAGGACTAATAGGGGCATCCAAACCTCCCAGGATTCCTACGAACAAGGAGCTGTGAGAAAAAAAACAACCCCCCCCCCCCAAAACCCAGCCTGGGGAAACTCTCTGAATTGAGGGAGTGAGATTAGCAGGTAAATTGTCTGTTTAATATTGCTCAGTGAATCCTTCCTAAGAGGGGATAGGAAGGGAAGAGACGGCAGAGTAAGACGCACAGGGCACTCTCTTAAGATACGCAGAGGACACCGGTTGGTAAGGGCAACGTAAAGAGGAGCAGGGGTGGGAGCTTGCTGCCCGGTTGATGGTTGGGCGTGGCCATGGTGGGCGTGGCCTACCAGAATTTCCCGGAGGGCCGTTTTTTACCTTTCCCGGAGTCCGGAGGCTTCCCTCGGGCCTCGGGGGGAGGGCAAAAACAGCCTCCCTCTGGCTCCGGAGGCCCCCTGGAAGCTGCAAACAGGCCCATTTCCAGACTTCTGGCAGGCCTGTTCTTCTCCCTCCCAGAGCCTCTGTGCGAATCCTGCACTTACCTGCATTGGAAATGGGCCACCTGGAGACCCCTGGGAGGGGAGGGGCAGGGTGGGGTGGGGCCAGCCAGTCCATTCAAATACCAGTTTGGCAAACCGGATGAACACTTAACAGCCGGTTCGCTCGAACCAGTCCAAACCGGTCGAATTCCACCGTATAGATATTCCAATAAGATTTCTCTGAAACTCCCCAGCCTTAGGAGACCAACAATTCCTGCTCCATCTCTGCTTGGTGGATCTCCGAGATGTGGAAGAGCTGAGATGAAATGGCCTCCACGATCCGATGCCCTCTTTTTCTTGCCACGAGCTCCTCCTCCTCCTCCTCCTCTCCGCTAACCCCTTTCCTCTCTAGCATTGAC